CTTGTTAGTATTGTTTTATTACTACTAGTTACGGTTAGTAATTTTAAATTTATGCAAAAAATCTTCTTTATATATAGTTAGCAATCCAATGCCTCCGAAATTCTCACCCGAAGAGGCATGGAATAGACTTCTTCAAGCTGATATTGGAAAAGACATGGAGGAATTTAAAGAAGCGTTTGAAGAATACGCCAAAGCATCTCCAAAAGAAACATTCCAGTCGATCGAAAAAAAACTACGAAATTCAGGTTGTAATGGAAGAATAATTGCGTTGAAACGCGAAGGAATTCCGTTGACGCAATGCTTAGTTGATTTGCAAGGAAACACCAATAAAAAATATTTGGCCCAATTAATCACGAGTCCAGATCGGTTATCACGAGCTTCTGGAAAAGCCAGTTCAGAAAATGAGAATTTTCAATGGCTCGCAGATGCAGGATTTCTCACTCATGATCCAACTCCTGTTTGCTTTAACTGTAAGCATAAAGGTCATAATACGAAAGATTGTCCAGAACCAAAGCATGAAAATGAGCGAAATATGCCTTTAGCATGCCAGCATTGCGGAGCTACCGATCACATAACGAAATTATGCAAAAGCGACGAACGTCGAGATCATTATGCGGAAATTCGCGATCGAAGCCTTGGTGGTAATGATGGAAGTTATAAATATGGATCAAGTAACAATATGGTCCGTGATTATAACTCTGATAGTGTTGGATTAGAGGGCAATGATGACCGTCGAAGTTTCCGTAGGAGTCAAACATGTCATAATTGTAATCGTGAAGGGCACATATCCCGTGACTGTCCAGAATCTAAAAAAGATGATCGAAGGTGCTTTAAATGTGGAAAGACGGGACATTTTGAAAGAGATTGTAATATTGTTGATAATTCATCATCATGGAAAAATTCTTCATCTATCCAATCAGTCCAATCGAATTCACAGGATTATAATTTCAGAGAAAGTGCCCGTAATAAAGATACTGACTATCATTCACCCATGAGAAACACGCAAGATAAAAATAATGACGTATTGATTGATTATGACAGTAATAAATCAACGAGTTTGGAAGCCAAAGACGAAGTTAACAAGTCAGCTTCGGAATTGAACAATAAAAAGCAAGATAGTGATGTGAATAAAGTAAACAATGATGATGTTAGTTCATGGTTAATCACGCAAAAACAAAACGATAACGGAGCAGATGATCCATGGGAACGAGCTAAAAAGGATGCTACTGCAAGTTGGGGGGGAACTCAACCTAACGTCACCACTGGTGCACAGGTTTACACTTGGGAAAATCCAATGAATTCCGACAATTTGACGAAGAACAATATGCAAAGCAAAAGTGATGGCACGATATGTAGTAGTAATAATGACAATCTCTCAAAGGATACTTATAATAAAGATTATAATACCTGGAATAAAAACGATAATGTTCCTACAGTTTCAAAGGATACGAACAATAAAAGTTACGGAACAGCTATGAGTAGAAATGGTAGCAATGCAACACGGGGATCTCAAGAAAGAACTACTAATGACGCTCGCCCGAAATGGGACGCTCAAGAAAAAGGATTCACTTTTGATGCACCTAAAGAAAGGACTACAAACGACACTCGCCCGAAATGGGATACACAAGAAAAAGGATCCACTTTTAGTTCTTCAAAAGTTGATGCACCATGGGGATCTCAAGAAAGAACTACAAATGACACTCGCCCGAAATGGGATACACAAGAAAAAGAATCCACTTCAAAAGTTAATGCACCATGGGGATCTCAAGAAAGAACTACTAATGATGCTCTTCCGAGATGGGATACGCAAGAAAAAGGACCCACTTATAGTTCTTCGAAATTCGATCCTTATGAAAAAGGATTCAATAATGAACCTTCAAAATTTGATGCGCATGATCAATCCAGTCTTACAGAGACTAACAACAGAGCTGGCATTAGATCTGCTTCCAGAGAAGTTGAAGAGCGAGGCCCCAATAATTTGGAACGTAATAATAATATACAACATAATCAAGCAAGAAATGAAAGTGATCAGAAAGATTCTTGGAATAAAAAGGACAATATAAATGAAAATGATCAAGATGAATGGAGTAAGGAGAGTGAACAAGCTCGTTCTACTTGGGGACCTAATATATACAAACCTTCAGTATATTCATGGGGTGATCAAGAGCAAGCGGTAGATAAAAATTCATTCAATAAAGATATTGAAAATTCGTCTAATCGTGGTGCGCATAATAGCCCTCATCGATCAGTAGCTCATAGCAATGAGTCTCGAGGACAAAGTCGAAGCAGATATGGGGATAATAATCGAGAAATCCCACGTGATGGTGGTAGACATGAATTCGGTCGTAATAATGATCGTGATGCTAATAATTGGAAAAATGATCATGAAACTGGCTTCAGAAATAATGACCGAGGGGCTAACTGGAATCGAGAGGCAAATTGGAAAAATGATTCAGAAACTAGTTGGAAAAATAATAATGATCAAGAAAATAATTGGAAAAATGATAAATGGAGAAATAACGAATGGGATAATAATAGCCGGAGAAATTATGATCGAGAGACAAGTAATAACTGGGGAAATAACTATGATCGAGAAACTAATAATAACCGGAGAAATAATAACAATCGGGATAATAATAGCTGGAGAAATAATAATGATCGAGATACTAGTAATAGCTGGAGATATAATGATCGAGATACTAATAATAACAGGAGAAATTATGATCGAGATACTTCTTATAATAATCGAGATACTTACAATAATCGAGATACTTATAATAATCGAGATGCTTATAATAATCGGAGAGGTGATCGAAGAAATAGTGGTCGAGATGCTAATTGGCAAAATAATCGAGGGAATAATTTTAGAAATGAGCCTAGTTGGAAAAATGATGGAGAGTATAATGAACGAGATAGATGGAGAGGTGATGACCGGGAGAACAATTTCAGAAATGGTCAGGAGACTAATTGGCGAAATAATGATTATAGGGATGATGTACGGGGCAGAAGTAGTCAGCCTGATAATTTTTTGAGAAAGAGTGGTAGTGATAAGTCCGACAGTCCATACGACTCGCGAAGATTTAATAATCAAAATTTTAATTCAAGATACAATCAAGCTCCACAAAATAATGATCCTAATCAACAAGGATGGGCAGCAACTAATGATTTGGGTGCAACACCGTGGTGGTAAATCATTTTTAGTTTGAATACGCGCATATCAAAAAAAATTTTATAGGAGGATGGATATCTTTATGTTAATCATACGTATATCGAAAGTTGTTTTTGTAATTATTATGTAAAAATAAAGCTACATCATTGCAGTTAAAATTGCTTAACACGTTTTATAGTGATTTTATCTTTATTATTAGTTAAAGTTGTAATTAATAATTCAAGAGTTATTTTTTTTATACATATATATCTGATATTAATGATTTTGTAGAATTTAAATAATATAAAAAATTAGCAATAATATTAGCCAAATTTTTATATATAAGGGAAGGGGATATCATGATGAATCGGATTATTTTGGGATTCCGTAATCATAATTGGATGCCATTCGATTCTTCCCGTCGAGAGGAATTGAAAGGTGCAAATTTTATCCGATTCCGATCACAGGATCACGAGATAATCCCCTATAATAGCTAAAGATATTATGACGAACCGGGTATCTCGTGATCCATTGATCGGAATCGGACGAAATTTACACCATTCGACTCCTCTCAGAGAGGGATCGAATAGTATAGATTTCATCCGATTCCGAGCACGGAATCCCAAGGCCAAAAATATTTTGTGATCCAGTGATCTGAGTAAGGCGAATTAGATGATACCAAAATCATTCGATTTTGATCAATGTAACACGTGATACGATCGAAAATATTTTAACTTCGTCATAATACCCCCAGGCATTATTTGACGAGCTAATTTAATTTACGTGATTTCAGAATTTGTAACTGGTAAACCAGTTTTGGATAACATTATCACAAAATCTCATTTCAAAAAGATTTTTTGATCATCTTTGTATTATGATGATATTCATTATGCTATCAAGATCAAAGCTTTTTCTTTACAATAGATATCAATTCCTATCAGCTGTTCCTCGAATTTTTAATAAAACATTTCTTCATACTTATCAAAAATCATCACCACCAGCCAATCTTCCCGATTCTTATTTGTTCTATCCAGGTCGCACTTCAATGCTCAGAATGGAAGAATTCTACCATTCAACACTTTCGACAGATTTAATGATACTCAGCTATAAAGACCCGGAGTCCGAGCGGAAATTCATTGAAAAACGTCAAAAAGAACATTTACCAATTAAAAAATCAGTCTTAACAAGAGACACGAATCCTTTTGCGATTAATAGACCATCACCAAAATCAAGAGGAAATAAAAAACGTTTACCAGTGCCACCAAAACAATGTCATAAAACAATACCTAAACTATTAAAGATTGACGTACATTGTATGATTAAAGAGGCTATACATAGTAAACAGCATTTATTGAGTGGTATTATGGCATTACAATGCATAACATCGGAACGACCAACAGTGGTTTATTCAAAGACGGGAGTCGCGCAATGGAAGTTGAGAAAAGGTAAAATTCAATGTTTCATACGGGTAATTGCATATATGCAATGCATATTTCTGATTATCTTTTCTTTAGATATGCCAATTGGATGCAAAGTTTCAATATCTGGACCACCAATGTATACGTTCTTGGACAAATTGGTAGAAATAGTATTACCCAGAATGAAAGAATGGCATGGAATACCAATTACATCAGGAGATCAAAATGGAAATATAGCAATGGGATTCCCTGCTAGTGCCTTATCGTTGTTTCCTGATATTGAAGGAAATTATGATATGTTCCCTCTTATGACTGGGTTTGATGTTATTTTTAATACTACAGCTTATACAGATTATGAAGGAAGAATGTTGCTGAGTGGATTCCAGATTCCCTTTACTCCAAGGAAGAAGATGGGAAGGAAAGGAAGAACAAATAGGAACTGATCTAAGTGCGCGTGGAGATTAATGATCATTAACAAATTTATTTTGTGATAAAAAAGTATGAAATTTTCCGGGGGACTGTTTATACAAAAAATTTCCATTTATGGCATACATACCATTATCGTCGGTTTATTATTTATATAAATAAAAATTCTTTAAATCGGAAAATCGTGATTTTACATGATCTGATCTTAGTGATTGTAGTCGATTTGGAGTTAGTCGATAAAATCGACTTAGTCGACTAAGTTGACCGATTTTTTAAAAAATCGACTTAGTCGAGTCGATTAAAGTTAATTGGTAAATCATTTTTAAAGGGAACAAAAAATGATAATCCTTATAATAAACAAAATCGGAAATTTATATATTTTTTCTATAGTGTAGAAATGGGGCTTGCTTACATATAAAAGTATTTTTTTTATTAAGTAACTCTTTCTTGTTGCTTAATTAAAAGTTGTAGAGCTAAATTTTGTGATTCTAATGGTAGTAAAATCATCAAAATTGGTTGGATAGATCATAAGATATGAGTATTTTTTAATTGTTTACTATAGAGTTTTTTCTTAAGAATTGAAGCACATGGCATTCCACTTACTATATAAGGTAACTAGTCACATGCCCGCCGATTTTTACTATAAAATTTGTACCCTTTAACTACGGATTACTAATTAATCATTTTATCAATATGTAGCCAATCAAAATGCATCAAAATATAAAAGTAAAAATGCCATTTCCAAGATTAAATATGTATATGTATAACTTTAAAAATCCATGATTATGAAATAAAGCAAAAAATTTGCATTTTATATTTATCTTACTTTGTCGATATTATCATAGCCAAGAAAAATTTACACAATAAATTTATTGAAAGTTGTTATGCCTAAATTCCAAAGATGATAATATATAGTAATACTTTAATTTCTCCAGGTCTTAGTAAAAAAAAAAAAAATAATGATTATATCATTCAATGAAGTATCTACAAATCCGAGTATATACAGTAGCTTAAATTTTTTTTATTAAATAAAAAATTTGCATAACACCGTATTAGTATTATAAGAATTTATTTCTTCTTTCTTTGGTCAATGCTTTACAATATATAAGTTTTGTATTATCCCAAATTTACTTCTAAAAATGAATTGCCAGAGCACTGGTACCTGACCCAAAATGTTATGCATAAGTAAGCTGATATGCATATTTATGTATAATAATTACTAAAAATAATATTTTTTCTATCAGATACAAAGCCAAAAAGTCTCGTGCATCATAAGCATATGTATCTCTATAATTAATAGAAAAAGGGTTAAATTATTATGAAAAAATACGTATTTTTTTATCTACGTATAATTTAGCATTATAAATCGATTGAGCTTACCCAAAGTGAATACTGCTTGAATAGGCTATTTTATTAGTATTGGCTTCGCATTTCAGGTTAGGTAATCAGTATTTTTTAAAGAACCAAACTTTCAAAAATAGCTATATGATTTCAGGAATTTTTCATTGTTTGAACAATAAAAAATCCATAAAATCGTATAAGCTTAAATACTCTATGTATAGCTAGTATGTTTGAATACATATATATGTTTTTAAAGAATTTTCATTGTTATAACAATGAAAATTTCTAAAAAATATACAATCAATTGTTTTCAGATATATATCTTTAATGGTGTGGTGGCTTAGTGAAGTGGTCTAGTCGTCACCCCACCAAGCTGCAGGTCTAGAGTTCGAATCCCATGGATGACGTTTTTCAAAAAATAGATTTGCATTAGGTAACGATTATCCATCGTCGGTTGGATCTAGAAATCTGTAATCTTGGTTGCACTATCTAGAATGGGAGCTTCGGCGTAGAAATGCCAAGAAACCGGGATGATCGAAACCCGTTTGGGAAGACCCGAGTAAG